TAATATCAGCGTTATCTTACATTCTCTCCTGGCTAACCTTGAACTAGGTAAAATCCAGTTTTCTTGCCACTCAGCTTCTGAACATGTGCAACTGAACGGGGTGGAGAACACTCAATCAGCCTCATTTTCAACTCATAATATATATGAGCCATTAGAACTAATCAACCTGCTACCTAATTTCTCTATTACTTTCATTCTCCCACTCTCTGAGATGACTATTTCACACTGTCTCCTTCCTCCAATCTCGAAAACCTTCTCTCATCTTCACTCTCAGCTAACAACCTGGCATCCGGTTTCACTGAGAACTAGATGCAATCAGAAGAGAATGTCTGCATTCCCACCTGCACATCTACCCACCAGCTGACTTCTTCTCACATACTCAGCCAGCCCTGCAATACTACAAATGAACTGACAATCTCCCATCACAGGCTTTCCTTTCTCTTGTGCACCATACCCATCTCTTCGTGCCTCTTCAACGGTAAAGTAAAGAAAAAAAACAAAACAAAAAAGTTGCCGTCCAGTCAATAGTAATCATATGAAGGTAAAAGAAAGATAGCATTTATGACCACCTTCTGAGAAAAGTACTAGGAAGTACTATAATAATATAAAAATTAAATCAGAACAAAAATTTCTAAATAGCAAGACATGAGAAATAAAAACAACAGTAGGAAGTAAAATGTTCTAAGTTAAGAATTAGTTTAAATCACAAAGAGTTATAATAATGTGACAAAATACAAAGCATGTTAAGTAAGGATTTTTGAAGGGGAAAAAATACATTGCGAGGAAATAATATTTGTCTAGACCTTAAATTCTAAACTATTTTAATAGTCCCCAATTGTTATGAGGGTTGGTGAGGGACTAGCAAGTAAAACTTCTTGACTGGATTGCAAGACGCATAGCTGTAATTAACTTTGGAAAGTTGCTCCAGCAATATTTTTTGAAGTTTAAAATGCTCACATTGTTTGACCTAGTATATGTGCTGTGCAATAGTTTTTGTAACAGCAACAAAAGTTAAAAGTAAAATAAGAAACAATAAGAAGTTAAAAGAGATGAGTCAAGTCTTTTTATATACAGATATAGAAAGATGGCAATGATGTCTTTTCAAGTTAAAAAAAAATTGCAAAGTAAGACTTTTAAAATATTACATATATAGACACATATTTGTGTACGCATGGAAAATAGTTATGGAATGGTATGCTACAAATCCGCAATGTTGTTTACGTACAGGTAGTGAGATTGAAACTCGAAAAAAAAGAAGAAGGAAATAATCCCAAATGTTAGAAATGATTTTTCCTGGTTGGTAAAATAACATTTCTCCTATACCTTTTCCATATATTCCTAGTTTTCTACTACGAACACATTTCATTTTTATAACCAGAAAAAAATCTTTAATACATATAAAATAAATTTGCATTATTTGTGTTTCTTTTCAATGTATAATTATTTGTGTAATTTATTTATTCATTTTACTTTCAAATTAAAATCATAAGTTAAATTTCTGAACTCAGCACCTATCCTGTTTTTGTTCTACTATTTTGGGAAACAAATTAGCACTCGATAATAATTTTATTCCAAAAATATGTATGTGGCTCTATAATTTATCCAGCATTGATTATTAAAATACTACAAGGACTTTTGAGAAATACTTATTTTTAAAAAGGAAAGAGACAAGAGGCAGGGGAAAGGCAATTTCCAAATGCTCAAAGTAATGATTCTTGAAGTGGGACAGCGCTGCAAGCAAACTGGTCACATCTTGAAGAAGTAAGAAAATCTGTTTGTTTGCTTAGACTTCAATATAGGCCAATCAGATAAAGGAGAGAAGCAATCTCCAGTAATATTATGGTAAATATGAAGGAATCGTATGAATGGATGAATGAATATACACATTAAGTGTTTCTGCTATGTAGGCATGCATGAGATAGTATGAATCAGATTAATGTAATCATAAGATTCTTAAGTTAATTGGTCTAATATATATATATGTGTTACTTTAGCTCTAACTAATCTAATGGATATATTTATCATCTATAGAGACCTAATAAACACACACACAAATCTAATACACACACACAAAATAAAACGTGAAGTCATTTGAAAATGTGCCAGATTTTTTCCCACCAAGAAATACTTCTGCAAATAAGATTTTAGTTTTGGAGTTTAGTACCTAGTGATAAACAAGATACATTTTTGTTTCAAACCTATAAATCTCTATGAAAACTCCATTTATTATGTAAAAACTAGGCAACGTACTCAACATGAAATTTCCTTGTTTTTTTTAAAAGAAAATGAGATTTTAAACAACTATATTTTTCACTTTTCAAATTTTCTAGCTTTCCACAGATGAATTTTTAATAAAAGAGAAACATTTTTAAAAGTTCATGTAAAGGAAGCTATTTAAAAGTATATAACTATTTCTTTACTTTCTCTGACTAAAGTGGGTATTAAGGAAATAATTACAGAAATTTTATTAATCTTCATGTTAAATATTCCTAAATTTTAATTTATGAGTAAGTACCAAACCATTAATGAGTCAGTTTCTTCGGCATTCTCCTGATAAAGGATTCCACTAGGTCCCCTGGCAAGTCTCGAGTCTTGGTGTGCGTGTTCACAGTTTTCAGACCTACCTTCTCCAGTAAGAGTGGACAGAGGGTGTGGATGAGCTAGGCAGCGGAACCCCTTCCTTGGGGACAAGTGAGTTCGTCTGCATCTGTCTCCTATACAGCTACTTTGGGCTAGAGCCCACTGTGACTCTACAATAGACCACAGTTAACATAGATAGAATGACGCAAATACTAAAACCTGAAAAAGATAAGCTGATAATTAATCATTCTGACAACAAGCTCACAGTATATTATCAACAAATATAACTGGAAGGTGCTTTTATTCTAAACCAGCATCTGGAAGCTAGCAGTGAGCAAGCTAAACAGAGAGAGTAAATATTACCATTACTTTAAAAATAATTTCAAGCATGGACCATCAGTAACCACAAACATGATGAGTGTTAACAGTGTATATACGAAAACACGTGTCTATTAAAACTGCCTTAATGTTTGATTGATCTGAAAGAAAACTATGCCTAAAGTAGACATCTGTACCTAGGAAATAACCAGTGCTTGGAAAAACAATTCACTTTCAAAACAGATAACTTGTACCCATCAAATGAATATTTTTAAAAAGAAAATTGGAATGTGCTTAAACCTAATTACATCTTAGAGATGATAAATATTTTAAAGCAGTGACTTTCAAACTTTTTGTAACCACAATCTATAGAAAGAAATACATTTTATATTGTCACTCAGTATACATATAAATATGTAATGCATATATAACAAAGTAAAGTTTTCATTAAAAAATATTCTTACTGCATTAAATTTACTGTGATACCTTGTATTTTGTTCTGTTTAATCTTTTTTAATTAGAGGAGTTTACAACCCAGTAATGTTACTAACCACAATTAGAAAAACATTGCGTTATAGGTTATATGGACATATATGTTTACCCACAATGTTTCTAAATTCCTGCATATAAAACATTCAGAATTACCCACTTCTTATGCATAGAATCAGAGTCTTCAAATGAATAGCTGAGCAAGTGTAATTTCTCATCTATTTCCATTTATTTGTTACGTACAATGGGAAATCATAACAATATTATGGGAGATTGATTATCTGTCCCAATTCTTCATCCCTCCTGGCATCCACACCCTTGCCTTTGCCTCATTATGGGTGGATACACTTTCTTGTTTGAATTTGGGCTTTTCCCTTTGACTTATTTTGGCCAAAAGAATGTGGACAAAAATAACTGCCAGTTCCAAACCTAATCCTCCAGAAGCCTTATGTACCATCACCATGAGAAGAACATGCTCTGGCTAGCCTACTTTTCCAAAGGGGATGAGAAATACATGCAGCAGTCTGGGGCATAAGTATCTGTGGCATGATGCAGAACTACCCTAGCTGGCCTTCAGATTCATGACCATAAGTTAGTATTAGCTTAAGCTACTGAATTTTGGGGTATTTTGTTACACAGCATTATCATGGCAATAACTAACTGAGGCAATCTTATTTCTGAATGAAGCCACTGAGATCTACTGCCCCATTCTCTGGCCTTGGGCATCACCAGTGATATATTGATACACACACCTGTGGTCCAAGTAGCCATTAACAAAAGCAGTAATAGTAAAAACAAACAAAGAAACATAAAATGAAAGTTACTCTCTTCTAAGTGAAAATGATCTTTTACTAAGTGGATATAGCTCAACTTCAGAAACCTCTAGATAATAAAGTTTGGTTCAAAGAATAACGTCCAAGTTCAGTCCTTGTTAACTATGCAGAAAATATCATTTATCTGTCTGAAAATAAGTGAGTTCTAGGTTTGCTTGAATCATACATATAATGTTATTACGATGAGTTTTCTTTGTAAAACAGACAAACAAAAACCGTTACCGTCAAAGCAAGCACAATACTTCATGTATTGGAGTTATTAAGCTCTAGGAAATCCGATATCTTGTTTGTTTTATAATTATTATCTCCTCATGGCCTAAAACAGCACCTAGTAAATCATAGACTCTCAGTGAATATTTGCTGACCAAATGATGTTCAATTACTGAATAAAAAAATTATCCATTTTTTAAAACTTAAATTGAAGGATTGCATTGATAAGAAATTCTCATTGTTCTACTTGTGTTAATTACAAAACTGCACTGAAAGTCAATCTGCTTTTCATTTTATGTGCTGTGCTTTCTTTTCACCTGAAAATTTACTTAACTGCCTGCTGGGCTTGTGGGATGAAAGATAATTATGATTCTGCCTCCCAGGAATATATAGTTAATGGAGAGATAGACACGGAAACAGATACAGCACAACAGAGGGAGCATGAAATGGAAATATAAAGGCTGTGTTATAGGAACATATAAGAGGGATATTGAAATCTCATGTTGTAGCCAGAAAAAGCATCATGCATGAGGTCACATATAAACAAAATCTGAAAAGAATTGCTCAAAGGACTTCACAAAGCAGCTATATTTAGAATTAGAGAAATATACACAAAAATTTTCTTTAATTTTAGTAAGCTGATTTTATAGTGGACAATTAAAATTCTTTAATCAGAAACAATCATACTTTAAGTTATTTTGTTTCCTTATTCCAGCACCTTTTTTTTTTTTTTTAAATCAACAAAAATGTGTTGAGTACTTACTCTGGGCATTCGAAGTAAGGCTTCTTTCTCCTTTCTGTAAAATTCCCCCTACACACACACATACACACTCACACAAACATACCTTAAAAATATAGAAGCTAGCAAATGTCTTAATTTTCATTATTGAAACCCAATAAATCCCAAGCTAATAATTTGCTTTATCCTTGTTGTCTCATTTTCAAAGAACAAAATTGAAATATCTTGATTTCTCTTTGAAGTAACTTAATATTGTTATAAATGGCATGTTTCTGTAGATGATGAGGTTTTCAAATTTTATCTTTAATTTTTTTCTATTATATATGAGTAATAATACTAATTGTGCACTTACTATGAAAGGAATTATGCTAAGTGTTTAAGTAATTTTTTTACTCAATCCTCACAATGACCAAATGAAGTTTACATCATTATTTCCAATAATAGACTATAATGAGTTTGGGAGAGTTGAAGTGATTTTTTTGACGTCATATGTTACTAGAAAATGGCAAAGCCAGAAATCAAGCAAATGTCTATCTAATGTCCAAGCCCATGATCTTAACAATGATTCTCAACTGCATCCAGAGACCAGCTCTTAAACATTCGTAGCAATTGACTATATCACAATCCCACATAACCACTTAAATATGAGAAGAAAAAAATTAGTAAAATGGGCTGAGTGGAGGAAGAAAGGAGTTAGTGGAGAAAATTATTTTCAGTAATGTTATTAGTTTCTCTCTACTCGCGTTTTCTTAGATATGAAAAAAAAAAGAATCTTTAAGAGAGTTGAGACTATATCTGCCAACTGATGTAGGCTAGAGTAGTGGTTCTCAGTGATGGAGGGGAGGCAACTGCACTCTAGGAGACATTAGGCAATGTCTGGAAACATTCTGTTTCTCACAACTGAGAGGTGCTATTGGTATCTAGTGAATAAAGGTCAGGGATGCTGCCAAATATTCTTTAATGCACAGAACAGCCTCCACAACAATTATCTGGCCCAAAATAGCAATAGTGCCAAGGTTGAGAAACCCTAAGTTTGAATGATATTCTCAGTCACTATGAATATTAAGACTTTCTTGACTACTAGTTGAAGAAGAAAAAAAAAAAAACTATAAACTTTATTCTTCAAGGAAAAGTGGAACTGAAAAGAGAGATTGCCTGAAATAATGGACATAGCACCAGACTAGAAATCAAAGAACACTTATCCACACTCCAATTCTATTGATAACTCTATATAAGGGCATGTGGCCAAACTTCTGTGAGCATCAGCTTCCTAATTGCAAAATGAAGGGCCAGTCATTTTTCAGCTCCATCATTGAATGGTTCTTAGTGAAGACATGATCATGTCCCTGAAAATGCACAGAGGCTGCCTGCAGATTTGAGGTCTGGGTAGGACACTCCTGTAGATACTGAGTTCCATGAAAGAAGAGATCATATATGCTTTAGTCACTGCTATATCCCCATTGCCTAGCACATAGTAGGTGCTCAATAACTACTGGGCAATAGGTTGGTTAAAATTTCTACAAGATTAGATATTAGGTTTATAGCACAAAAAAAGGAGCCCACTAGCTGCTAACTGAAATGTCCCCGGTTCAAACTGACCAGTCACTCAGCAGGAGAAAGATGTGGTAGTCTGCTCCCATTAAGATTACAGCCTTGGAAATCCTATGGGACAGTTCTACTCTGTCCTATAGGGTCACTATGAGTTGCAATCTACTCAATGCCAATGAGTTTATAGCACAAAAGAGATGCCGCAGCTTGTGGTATTGATTTGAAAGACATTAACCTAGTGGTAACAGTTGAAGCTGCTTGTGATAAAGGATAAAAAAAAAGAGAGAGAGAGAGAGGAAGATGGAACTGTGAGGAATGTCAATATGTAAGTTAAATTGACTTCAAGGTGTTAGAAAGAGAAAAAGAGGGATCAGCACAGCCAAGTATAAACAGAGTTTTAAAATGGGATTATAGAACTCTACAAAGTGGCAGAGTAAGAATATGGACTGAGAATAAGGTCATGGGTTAAAGAAGACATCATTAGCAATTTGGGAGCACTGTCAGTAGAGCACTGCAGGGGCACAGCAAAGCCAGATTCGCAAGATTAGGAAGATAACGTGTGGTGAAAAATAGAGGTAGCCAGTGTAAATTAATTTTTCAAGACATGTGACAATGAAAGGAAGATGAGAAATGGAGTATTAGTTTGAAGGGAATTTGGTTACAATAAATAAATGTGAAAGGGTATATAGGCCACCAGGAAGAACCAGAGAGAAAGAAAGAGTGAAGAGCAGAGGGGAAGTATTTGATGGGGCAAAGGCTCAGGGAGATGAGGGTTGAGGGGATCAGAAATGTGGGAGAGGATGAGCCTTGGAAAGCGAGGAACCCTTCCTTTCTTGCTCTTCCTCCTCCTGATTTATTAAATTCTACTCTTAAAAACCCAACTCGCATGCTACTTTCACATCACAATCAGAAATAATTCCACTCTTCCAGGGACGAATTACCCAATAAGCAAGATACACATGGGCTTACTTGTGTTTCTTACTAATCTGTAGTGCACAATTTCACATCAAAGATGTGATGAAGCCCATGTGAA